GTATGTTTGACTTTGACGGGTGTATCGATGTAACGTTCGAACGATTAGCCCGACTCGTCGATACGGTTGATGCAAAATATACTCGATTCTCCAATACGTCTGAGAACGCCATACACAACAGCGACTTCTTCAATAGGCGTCAGCTCATCGATTGCGAGCTATTAACTTTACTTTTTAATGAAAAAAAACGTGATGTAATAACATGTGAATAAAAAATTTTCGTCCACATCATTTTATATACATATGTAAATACTTTATTTTAATCTCCATCCATCCATCCATCTTATACCTCGTCAACAAAAAAGAGGATTCATTTCTTCTATCCTTTCTTCACTCATATCACGCGCTCTATCACCTACAAAGCATACTATGTTATAATATCAGTCGCGTTATTAATCTGGCACATGCCAAATAATTGTGTCATGTAAAGCGTCGTGCACGCTCTATCTTTCTCTAACGTGTAAACCCTTGTTATCTACGCATTTTTTTGGAGGGACGTGGGGCCCACAGCAGCGGCGGTGGCGGCGGTGACGATAACGGCGGCGGTGGCGGCGGCGACGGCGGCGGCGGCGGCGAGTGATAAAAAAATAAGGAATGCATTGTTTATGTAATCAACCGACCTGAGTCAACAATGATGACGCCGAGACTTCCCGCGCCTTCCCCCTCTGCCGCGCCTTCCTCCGCCCGCGCCTACGAGTACCCCCCGCGCCCCGCGCTCCCCTCAGAGGACCTGGGTTAGAACCCGCCCTATACCCCTACTATTAACTGTGTCAAAAATAAAAGTTAATGGGTAGTCATTATCTAATAAAACGTTAATAATAAATGTCAAATTTTTTGTGTGAAACATAAAGTCAAAAAGTAAAAAAGCTCTGCCAACTAGCGAAAAAATTGTACCTTTCTTTTGTGCAATTGGATAATTTGAGTGGAAATTTAAAAATCTCCCTACGAAAGTAGCAATAGTCAAAAACAAATCGATTATTAATGATATATATTGTAGTATCCAAAAAATCTAATTGTTTTCCCTATTTTTCTTCACTATTTCTATAGTAAATTGAAGACGTGGATGAAATCAGTTAAAACGTTGTAGAAGAATATCAATTTTTGAGGGAGAAACTGCAGTACAAATGTCGTCTACATATCTAAAATAAAATGTCCACGTTCAATCAGGGACACCGTCTCTAATTTCCTCATTATCAAGTCCGCTATTACAGGAGATAAAGGAGAACTCATGGGAGTGCCGAAGCTTTGCTTATAAAGTTTGTTGTCAAATGAAAAAAAGGTAGAATCTAAAACAAACCGTATCGCTCCCAGAAACTCATTCTTAGGCAGAGAGCATTCCTTAGAAATAAAACTCCATTGTTCATTCACACAATCAACCGCTATATCTATTGGAACATTCGTAAAAAGTGAGATCACGTCCAAGGAAATTAATTTATATTCATCTGTATATTCTTTTTAATTTATCAACTAATTGGAAGCTATTTTTAATGTAACTATCCCCCTTAGGAATTGTCTTGAATAATATATTGTGTAAATATGTAGCTAATACACATTAGTATATTATTATGGTATGTCTATTTTATAACGGTTCATAAAAAACTGTGAAATGACGCCAAAAAATTTACCTAAACATATTTCTTTAATCCGCAGTTAAGCCCCAGACACAATGCGAGGGAATATCAGTAGCGATAGGAATAACACGATTTTAATCTATCAGAAACTGTATCCGATTTCTGGTAGGTTGAAGCTGTTATTCCTATCGCTATCGCTACTCCCTCGCATCGTGTCTTGGACTTTAGTTATTATTAACATTTAAAATATATTTTGTTCGATAAAATCATTTCCAAATACGTTTTTATCATTTTAAAAGTAGACTGTACACTGATTCAGTAAACTGAATTTTAACAACTTTATATAAATTATATTATATAAAAAACTAACTAGTTCGACTAATATCTTAAAATTGAATCATGAAATGATTTTAATTAAAAACTTGATAAAAGCACTGCAACAAAAAATTATGAAATACGTAAATACATTTTTCGATTGTAGTTTTCCATTATGAATTCATTCGTTTATATTACATTAAATATGACTTTATTATATTTAAATCTGCCTCTTTTGTGTTTCATGTCATATTTTTTTTCTTTATTACATTAGCATATTGTTCGAGTTGCTTCTGTTAATTATATTATGACAATAATTATGTGTCCTACATATATATAATTAATTTATATATAAAATTATATAACGTAAAATAATTTAAAAATTATCTTTCTGAATTATTCTTTTTATTATACTCTTTTTAAAATATTTATTCTCTACGAGAGGTAAATTTTTCTGCGTTAGTCTTTTATATATTTTCTCACTGATATTGGTATTCTAAAAACTTAAAATATTTATAATTATTCAAAAATTACTCATATTCTTAAAAATATAAGTAATCATACGTTGCTTACATTGGAATCTAATTTGCTTTCCGACGCCGATAAACATTTTTCAAAGAATGGAATATGTGGCCTTTTATTGCTGATTTTTGCTTCAAGTGCTTCCTTATTTTCTAAAATATACAAACATATAATTTTATCAGTAATGATGAATTTTGTCGAGTATATTTCTCATTTGATTGAAAGAGGGGAATACTCGATTGTGATTAATCAATTCTTACGGCATACAAAATACGGTTACGACTATTATCATAGACCTGTTACACAATACGCCGTATGTCGGTGTCGGAAGCCATAAGTAAGAATTGATCAATCACAGTTGAATATGAGGAGGATACTCGACTGTAATAAGTTCATTGTTACGGCTTATAACTCACGACTCCGACATACGGCGTATTGTACATATAACAGGCCCTATAAACGCTCCTTTAGAACTACCGACTACCGACTTATTATAGAATTAACTTTAATACTTAATCAAAATTTTAATAATTCGAACTATTCAAACTCATTTTTTTTTAATCTTTTTTTTTAGTTGTATCTTTATTGTAGCAAATGAATGACATATGCACATTTAATTAATAAAATTGTTTTAAGAAGAATTTTTTGACTACGCATGTTAACCTTAGAACGATGTAAGCAGGATATATATATATATATGTTGTAAATGTAAAACAACAAAACTTTAAAAAAGATATTTCTACACTAATTATCAATTACTTACCATCTACATCGATGACACTCGCATCGTAAAATTCATTATCTTTCTTCAGCGAACTTTGTACTTCTTCGCCCTATTAGATGTTTCAGAATCGAAATTCTTTATCTCCGATGTACTCACAACAGTTTTGGCGCCGTCATCAAATTTTACGTGTGCAAACATGTTTGCCTTCAGCAATTCTTTGCTACTACATATATAATGTCAAGATTATTTGGTCGAAACTTTTTTTCGCGGGAAATCATGGAATAGTCAACCATAAAATAAATGAAAGTGCAAATCAAAGAGGTCTATACCAGTGCTGCCAGTCGGGCCGAGTTCCCCATCCAATTGTTAGTCCACACGCATCGTGCGATGTATGCACGGTAACTATAGTAACGTGTTCAGTGTTAGGCTGATGTCACATTGAGCGATTCATGCAGTATAGCGAACAAAATTCAGCCAATCATGAAGTACTTTTATATTTTCTGCACGATATCTGTTTCTATTAGTACTTCATGATTGGTTGAATTTTGTTCCGCTACCGCATGAACTTAATGTGATATCAGCCTTAAGGCTTGAGCACAAAGATTATCGTGGATTGTCGTAACTGTTTTCGAAAGTCGTAAGTCAACGCAAGGATCGATATAAACATACGTCGTAGGCCATAAAGATCTTTACGACAATCATTGTGCGTTGACTCACAATTCTGTCGGAAACTATTATGACAATCTTTGTGCTCAGGCCCTTATCCAGTGAGAAATGACAATGGAATTGACGTCGAATCGATATCGATTTGATGATTTCGATGTCGAATCGACATCAATTTGATAGGACAATTTTGGCACGATCTCCGTAAACAGACAGGCGGGATAAGACTTAATACAAAGAAACAATTTTAAATAATTTTATTTTAATTACTTTTCCTATTCTATTTTTAAATATAATCTTTAACTATAATCAC